AGACTGAAACGTTTCAAGCAGAATTGGTTTCACTATGGCACCTTTGATGTTTTTTGTCAGTTCAACTGACAATTTTTACAGACAGATATGAAATAGCTCACCTGGTCACGAGTCACATTAAAAAAACCTTCTTACTTAGTTCATGTAATGTCCTCTTTTCGCCTCCATGTCCACATGACTGATGAGCATCTTTTATCACGCAATATAGGTATTCAACCTGAACGAAATATTTAGGAGATTCCTCTGTTCCCTTCTTTATCAAGCTCAACTAGGTTTCTAAATACACACAACTCAGCTTGCTCAATCTATGGGATTTATGCAGATTGAGTAATTGCTCAATCCACGGGAATGAGCAATACCAATTGCGTAATGACAGGGTTTGGGCATAGGGTCGCCCATTCTCGGGGATTACGCAAATATCTTGCGTAGTTCGCGGATTGGGCAATTCCGTAATTATATATATATATATATATATATATGTGTGTGTGTGTGTGTGTGTGTGTGTGTGTGTGTGTGTGTGTGTGTGTGTCTGTGTGGTATGTATGTATGTATGCATCTTCAGCAACCCATGTTTGTCGTAAGAGGCGACTAACGGGACCGTGTGGTCAGGCTCGCTGTCGTGGGGGTGACACATGTCATCGTATCCCAATTGCGTAGATCGATGGTTATGCTGTTAACCCCTTGATTGTCTGGTCCAGACTCGATTAATCACAGACCGACGCGTGGCGTACTTCATGATATACAACACATATGCAACATGTCATACAACGATATCTCTGGTAAGTGGTGATTAGTTATGTTTACGTATGAAACATGAGACCGTGACCCTGGTACACAGCTTCTGTATTTATGTATTCCTAAACTAAAGTACTGTCGGAGTAAGAAAAAGTGTTTTTTTCGCATTTATATCTACAATTTATGTAGTGAATATATGACAGTGTGAAATATTTGTTACACCATGTTCGGCCTAACTACAGTCTCAGTGGTAGGGAGATGGGAAACGTACAAAAAAGTACTTTACTGGGGAGAGATTAGTGCAAAAATGAGCAATGCGGTTTTTTTTTCTATGTCCAAAGCGACTTAGTTGGAACAGACCATGACTTTATGCAAATTAGTGTGCGATGATATTGTATTACAAAGGACACTTTTTAAATGCCCATTTCAAAATTAAACTTAGCTTCGTTATAAACGATAGCTGACGTAAAAAATAATAACTTTAATACTGAAACTATTAAAGATGTAGGTACCAATGAGTCTCACTATTACTATAAAAAGAAACAGGTAGGAGGGATCGTCTCAAACGGTGCGTCAGGACGGGTGTCACAGACGGTGGATGGGGTCGGGCTGGGGGATAGAGATATCAGCTGAGATAAGATAATCCTTTAGGGGAATTAAACTTGAGAAGCAAACTGCATGTCATAACAATTTACAAATAATATCCAGTCCTGTCGATCATCGGTTGGTCATGCCACCTATATATTTTGAGACATTTAATACGATGGCTGATTTAAGCTTTTCTGTGGGTATCCTACTGATTTACATATCTCAACATAAACGTTATGATAGAAAGACAAGTAAGATGTTAATCAACAGATGAGACATATTCAACACACATGTGAGAAAGCATAAAATATCGTTGAGATGGCCCCTTGTGCCTGTAGGCAGCACATGCATTTCATGCCAGGTGAGTCGACGGTCCGTCGTCATACCTGACTGAGCGACCTAATTGCGATCTATAGACTGATCTATTGTTTTCAGCAGCTATTCGTATTTTTTCTGTTTTGCCCGGTTTTACGAGTGAACATGCTTTTCTGGATATCCTATTATCCCACTGAATGCCAAGTAAGGCCGAAGTGGGTTATTTCGACATATGCTATTTGCAATTGTGTACATCTTAGGGATACAGAGCAACAGCCTAAAAACAGTTTTTTTCTATTTCAGACAGTACTTTAGTGGCAATAGCTAACATACACTATGAGAGCCAAATTACTTCAACGGGTGTGTGCCATTATGATCCGATGATCATGCCACCGCAATCGTTTCTGTAACCCAGACTTGATTTTGAGGTCATCGTACGTGTTCTAGCTTGTCTGTCATTGTGTTTATACTCACTCCACACCTGTACTTCAGCAAAGTCTAACACAGCACCACGTTCATCATTATCAGTCTCTGTGTAGACAGTCAGGTAGCGTCAGGTCCCAGGACAGGTGACATTCAGGACATCAGGGATGTCTGTACCGTCAGGGCGCCCACTAACTGTGTCACATAGATCTCCTTGTTTGGGGTCATGTGAATTTGTCATAGACGTGTAGAGGTGAAAGCCATTACTTCGACGCTTATCTAAAAAAGTAGAGGAACATGAAATTTCAATTTGCATATGAAGTATAAGTGTTTACAAACTTTTCAAAGACAGACATCTTATGAACGCACCACCATTTCTCTTTATTGTCACCCCTAAACACAACGCATTGGATGCGCGTGCACAACGCAGTGTGCCCATACACTTGCATAAGGTGTCATTCTTGATTTTGACGTTTACAAGAAGGTCGATAAAAAATGTAGACCAATAATTTTGACAATCAGAGAAACAGTTGTTAGTGTTTGTTTTTAGCCTTTTTTGTGTTTGAAAATGAAAATCGTACACATGCAAATTTCACGTTATACACAAATCATCTTTCAAAAGTGATAATGTATAAACAACTATGGTCATAAGGAAGTGCAAGTGGTGATGCACTCTCAAAACATTCATCATTATCATGTCAATATTGATTGACGCTGATATATCTCGCATTTTTTTCAAATTAAAATGGAAACTATTACGTAAAGATATACATTATTTATATACGCTGTCAATGCGTCTATACCAGTATCAGTGCTTGGAACATATTTAGTCCGTGACACTAACGAACGGTGGTTGTCATTTTAGCAATATTATTTTCTTCAATTTGCTTCCAAACTCAACCAACAATTAACCTAGGGTGTCTGTGCGGTCCAAGAGGTATATATTCTGAAAAGGTAATATCACGAATTATTTAAAATTTGGTTTAATTTCGTAGACGTATGAAGCATCATTCAACACCTGCTTCAACAAAAGTGTGACATACTTACAGTCTGTTCTGAAGTAGATGTTAACCACTGCTGACTGTACTTGTGTCTCTAGATCCACCTTCCACCAGGCTGTAGCTTCACCACCCCTTGTGTGCGTCAAGTACGTCTCGTTCACTGCAGTAGTCTCTCCATCTACAGCTACATCAGCATACTGTGGAGGTTTACGTGTGGTACTCATCCATGCTGGTTTGCCTACGGCGACATTTTATCTCAAACCTGCAGCATTAACAATATGTTGTAAACAGAAGTGACAAAACCCTTTCCGCATATTGCATATTTGATTACAATGATCTTGAATTACAACACACACTGCACAGTGATTTGTAGGGTCCAGTTGTGTATTGTTCTATGTGTGATCCATTGTTTTTTTGTCAAAGGTGTGTGTTTCATAGGATTACTATCTAAAAGCAAGGTGAAGAATGTTTTCTGTTTCGTATCTTCAGGTGTTTATGACTTGTGTTAAGAGCAATTAATTACACCACGTTGTCATTGCCTTACTTTGTTCCAAATAACGTTCAGCAGAGGGCATTAGTGTACTTGTGTGACTCTCCTCTTTCTTTCTCTTTCTTCTCTCTCTCTCATTTGTCGCGCCAGATACGTTTAAAAGGTACCATTTGCAGTCCTATTATGGGATTATTTTTTTGCAATATTAAAAACGTCTCATCATATTAATTCACATATTTAACTTCAAGTCAACCACACTAACCTTTGCCTATGCGTATACTGTATATACAGACGGCATTTGTAGGATTTTTCCATGTCTTCATGGGATTATGGTTATACAAAGCCATTTAGAAAGTTGTCAAATTTAACATACGCTATATTTGGGATTACACTTTCTTAGTAAAGAACAAATTCTAGTACTGTTGTTGGGTTGAGTCCCATCCAGGATTCGAACCCACACCCTCAGAGTCAGGCATGTAATCACCAGCACACAAAGTCAGCCGCCTAACCCGCTCAGCCACCTCGACTTCCATAAAAGTGGAAGTCGGACAATTGGTAGTCTAGACTGCGCACTTTGTGTACACCCTCTGATAAGTATAAATTGAAGATCAATTCTAACCCGGGTTTTTTCGGTATGTACAACCATCTGTCTGTTGCATACCCGCTAAAATAGTCGTCGCTAAGAGTGATTACCAAAAATGTGAGTGGGACACAATGACACAGCCTTCACACAGTGACATGGCAGTCATCTTGATTTCAGCAGGTCCTTTATTTATATATGCTATTGATTACATAGCTGGCACCCCACAATGACAAGCCCGCTCAAGCAGAACGCACTATCGGGAGGTGAGGCGCGAGTCAACAGTTCCCATTATTACCGTGGTACAGATGAAAGGCTTGTTTTGTGTTCAACTGGTGCTGACAGGTGCTCATTATCATTGCTACAGTGTCTCTTTCAGTAAACCATGGTTGTGTGAGTGAAACAATGAATACAGCAGGTAAGGAGCACACTGACAACATGTTACAGCATGTCAGTACATCAACACGATATACTACACTGGCTTCATTCCCAAGAACGTATTTCGTATTCATTCCTTCGCGAATCACTTCTTAGAATGGGATGCACTATTACATGATCTTTTCTTGTAAAAATAACACAACTATACACTATTGTCAGTGATCTATTCAGTGCATTGATAGGGTGAGTGAGTATGGTTTTACACCACTTTCAGCAATCTTCCAGCAATATCACACCAGGGACACCAGACAGTGAAAGAAAGTATAGCTTTCCCAGTGATAACTACACATGATACAGTGAGACTGTCAGGCTGTGTTTCCACATTGCCTGATATACCATTAATACACGTGTCTTAACGACCACTTGAAAGTAAAGCTGACAAGAGAATGTATTCGGTGCAGAAATTCACGTGGAAAAAGAGTTTACTGACCTGCTGCCACGCTGAGACTGGCCACCAACAACACAACACTGGGCTACACCGCAATTGTGTCACTACCTCACCGACCAGGAAGAAGATCACCTTTCTACAAACATCACTTCACTGTGAACCACAATCAGATATTTTGCAAAAGAGACCAGCTTCGTTCCCGTTTCTATTACACCACACTGAGTGTACTTGATGTAATACTGTTACTGAGTAGACACATCTCTATCTTAAAAAATATTGTATGTGGTCCCAAACACAGCGCGATACAACAGGATGCGGATATACACACGTAAGCATATATGATTATAATTGCTATAAACACAAAAACTTCATCGACATGAAAGTTTCAACTCTTGGCGGTATGTGATCAGTTGAAATCGACATTCTTCACACAGTTTTTCAACTAACATAATGCACTGTTGCAGAACAGGTCGAAGGGACCTGACGGTATTAATTACGTCAGTAAATGAGTGAGTGAGTGAGTGAGTTAAAACTTAACGTCACATCGGCAATATTGCAGCCATATCGTGACGAGAACAGTTTATATCAATATTTCAAATCAATAAATATATAACGTAAAAACTGTCATCGAAGGACAGTAAAACTACTAGGATATCACAGCTCTTAATTTAAAACTAGTACGCTATCATAAACATATATCACGAGAGACAACAGTCCAATATAAGAACGGGCTATAGATCACCAGCAACTGAAGGTTGATCACCATACTAAAGACCATGGGGACTTACAGTACCTTTGCTACCTACATGGACCCTAGTTGGATTTACACCATCCCTTCAGCAGCTGGCGATTGTAGTCAAATTTAGCCATAATGAAAATCACAATCATTCTACGCTTAAAATCCTGGTAAGTTTGAAATTTACTTTGAGAGTTTTGGGACTTATGTACACGTCAGTAAATGGGCATCCAGTGTTTGCCACTCGTGACCTGATTGGCTGTTGCTCATGGTGTCAACCACGTGTTTGTCTGGTCCAGACCATCATGGTGTGAATACTGCTGATATTCTGAATCAAGGTATTTATTTGCAAACAATAATTGCAAACATTACTGACCCAATTTGTGCACTGTTCAACGATGTAACGGGATGTAGGGCCAGTGTGGAAATGTGACCTGCCAGCTACTGAAAACTGGGCGCATATAATCATCAGTTCTGGAATAAGAGTCCCGAAAGGATGAACTGATTTTGTATCTCGAGCAGGTGATTATCGCGTAGTTTTAACCACTTGTTCACGTAAAATACTTCCCTTCACTTAGCTTTTTGGAAAAAAAACGTCCATTTGTGAATCAGCTAGGTGTAATGAGCATGGAATTTATTCTCTGCTGCTGGTGCACGCGCTCCTTCGTTAATCTGTGCACTACATAGTATACAAATTCGTTGGGTCAGATTTTGTCAACCTGCTCGTTTGAAGAAACATGATACATGTATATATAGCATCGGTTAACACGAATATATTTTGATATAATTTTTGTACTAATATAAATGTGAGCTGTTTGTGTTTATAACAAATTAGACAATGCCCAACTCATGTTTATCTGAGACATCTTATCTATAAAAGTCAAATGGGCACAATGTTTACAATGTTTAAACAACACAGGGGTTTTCATTAAACAAACATGATTTTACAAGACACAGACACAGATTACGTTTTGAAAGCTGTTGCAGGACTGGGTCTTAGGTGTAAAAATAATTAGATTTAACAACGATACTTTGAATTGCCATGAGCTTTTACATGCACACATTTACTTACAGGAGTATAGGTGCATATGTTAGTAAATTTACTTATGGTATGTAAATAGGAAATAAACGTCCCAAAACGAATTTACTCACATAAGTATTTATACTCCTGGAGTAAATTTACACCTGCTCCAGACGTAAAGTAAAAGTATATTTACTCCTAGAGTATTTTACTCCAGAAGCAAATTCATCTTGTAAATGACACTTTGATTTGCTCCTGTAAGTAAATTCATTGCATCATATTTTCAAATGGACTATTATTTCATCATTATTTTGTTTTCAATGTTTCATAAAAAAACATCATAAGGTTCATTAGAATTTTCATTGGATTTTCAAAATACGTCTTTGTTGCTTTTATTCAATTTCTTTTTGTACGACCATGTTACAAGATATGGATGTTACTTCATTGAGGTCGGGGCGGTGGGGTAGCCTAGTGGTTAAAGCGTTGGCTCGTCACGCCGAAGACCCGGGTTCGAATCCCCACATGGGTACAATGTGTGAAGCCCATTTCTGGTGTCCCCCGCCGTGATGTTGCTGGAATATTGCTAAAAGCGGCGTAAAACCAAACTCAGTCAGTCAGTCAGTCATTGAGGTCAGTTTGACAGCAGTCTCGTGTTTCAGTAGTTCATTTAAAGTTTATACATTTTATATCAGTTGTTCAAATTGTCTTTTCCTTTTCTGTATCAATGCAAAGGTACTGTAAGTCCCCATGGTCATACCAAAAGGCGTTAAAATATGGTACTTGTTGGTCCCTGCCAGGCGCTCGGCATTAATGGGGAAAAACAAGGACTGGTCGGCTCGGAGTCAGTATAATGTGTCTGAGTGGGGTATTCATGCTTCACTGCGGCATAGTATCTCAGTGGGCTAGCACTATAAAACCAGCTTCAGTCTGGGCTAGTACAAGCAGCCGCACATACACATACACACGCGCATGCATGTCGTCATATGAGCGAAATATTCTCAAGCGCGACGTTAAACCCAGTTTCACCTCACCTCACCCCATGGTCCCTAGTATGGTGATCCACCTTCAGTTGTTGGCGATCTATAGCCTGTTTTTGTATTGTATCGTCCTCTATTGTTAAAGTAATTTAGATTTCATTACTAGTTTTAAATATAAATCTGTGATAGTCTAGTTGGTTTTACTGTCCTTTGTCGACAGATATTTCAAAATGATTACCTTCTTTTCATCGCTATATGGCTGTAATATCACGGATGCGATGTTAACTCACTCACTCACTGTATCAATGATTATGTAATACACATTGTTCTAAAGTAAAATGGAGCGATTATAATTAGTAATTTCTTCTGCATGTAGTTTGTAAATCCCGAGAATTGTACAATCTGCTTGTTTGAAAACACATCGAAGAGGTTATGATGCAAACCCATTACGTTTCATGTATATAATATCGCACCTCAGTATGTAATAGTCGCTTGTAAGTCGCTCATGTCCGCGCTATATACATGCTCAAGGCGCTACGTACATTGCTATCCCCGTCATTGGACACTATTGTACCTTCCGATACTTTTTCGGGGTGATGGCATAGCCTTGTGGTTAAAGCGTTTGCTCGTTACGCCGAAGAACCGGTGCGATTCCCCACATGAGTACAATGTGTGAAGCATATTTCTGGTGTCCCCCGCCATGATATTGCTGGAATATTGCTAAAACGGCATAAAACCAAAGTCACTCACTCCGATACTTTTTCAATATTCCCTGGGGAACATACAGCCTCGTTGACTGTGAGGTGCTTAGAGAGCTGATGGTTCACATTGTCAGCACATCCTCATGGGTATCCATGTTACAACTGGGTGAACTGGTACCTTTTTCCTGGATACAACGCAAATGTTCCAGACCGGGTGGCTCACCAGGTATCAAACCCGGGTCTTTTGTATGAAAGACAGACGCCTTATCCACTACACCATTGCGTTGAAGATGTTACTGTGATAATGATAGCCATAAAATAACAAGTACCACTGTAAAGATGGTTCATCATGCAATACAGGAAATGTTTCTTTAGTTATTCGAAAATTCTCAACCCACTGGCCATCATCAAAGGTGCCTTGTACAATGTCTGTTCACCAGGTTCTTGAACATGTCTTTGCCCAATCATTCGTGGCCATTGTTAGACGTAGGACAAATCCTGTAGTAAAAATATACTGCAGGTCTTCGTTTTTGTGTCTGAAGATTAAAAGGCTAAAATTCTTCAAAACCAGATGTCTGGCTGGTATGCAAATCAGATATACTCCTAGTGGTTAAATATCCATGTGAACAGAAAATGAATATACCTTTATTCCTGTGAGTAAATTTACTCCATAAGTATTATGGATTATTTACAGGCTGCACAATGTTGTTGAAACAACCATGTTGCTTGTTGGCTATGAACTCTACACTGTATTCATCATATTGACTACTGGCGGGACGAAAAACTAAACGTGTGTTATATCTGTCAGTTCGTTATGAGCGTGTTCGTTCTATACTGCTTGTTCTTACCACCTGGACTGCCATTATGGTAAAATCATCAAACAGAGTCGAGAAGTGTTGGCTGGCATTGAAAAAGGTAAATGGAAGCGACGAAACACTTTCCACATGTATCAGAAATCTCTACTGAAAGCAGATTCCATCGTACAATTCTGGCAATATGAGTAAGTTTTCATTTGTTTAAGGCCGCATTATTGCCGCATTATTGCCTGTATGACGGCGGTCTTTCGTGATCGATCAGTGATATATAGTTCCGGTTGAAGCAAGAAGGGGCCACCTATGGCTGTCGTACGAAGAGGATAATGAACTTGGCGGCTAGAGGTGAAAATTGTTGTCTTCACGCCATCGTATCCCTTTGTGTGCTTTTAATGTCAATCGATCTAGCATCTGTTTTCTTACTTCAATTAGTCACGTACTTCAATCAGTAATTATTTCCTTATATAAGTAAGTCCCCGTTGTGTAGCTGTTCTAATGCTGAGCAAAAAAGCTCAAAACATTTTTTCATTCAGTTTATGTAATGGTTTTCATAAAAACGAACATACCAGGAAATGTATGACAGTGTCCCTTTGTGTAGATGTCATCCATTTCAAATGAACATAAATCGTCATAAAAGACAGGACCAGTGTCATCTCCTTTTAGATGGATGAAGTTGCTTTGAAATTTCTTTCTTTCAATATTTTGAAAACTCGTTTCCGACTAAAGAGGTCACAAATTACAGTATACACTCATATAGTTGATATCCGACATGTTCAAATGAATAAAAGCTACTGAATATATCTCCAAATAATTCAAATGTTTTCTCTCTTTTTGTTTATCCTTTGAGGCGCATGTTTTGCTAGCATCCACACTGGTGTAAATGTCGTGATGCAACCTGTTAACGATCGTTCCGTGATATTTAAGGCAAATTCTCCTGCACACAAGAGACAAGATGTCGTATGATAAATAAGACACAGCTTACTGTCTATACACTGTATGTGTCTATACATTACCTTTAAAATACTTACGTACAGACGAAATAGAACAGAAATCCAGAAATAAACACTTTAATACAAAACAATTACAATGGCAGCATAGCTTGTACTAGAAACATTGCAAGTGCATAAAGATACAAGAATATATTATAGTATGTGCAAAAAAGACACATTTTGTTATGCGCAATAAAGATACAGTTTAATTCGAAAAGGAAGTACTGACCAGTTGACAGAGGTATATACATAAAAAGGTATAAAGCATATCTTAGGAAATTACATGAAACGTGATTCTTTGATTCACATTCTAGAAGAAGTCAATGGAGAGCGAATATGGTTTACGCCGCTTTTAGCAATATTCCAGCAATATCACGCCGGGGGACACCAGAAATGGGCTTCACACATTGTACCTATGTGGGGAATCGAATCCGGATCTTTGGCGTGACGAGTGGACGCTTTTATCACTGGGCTACCCCACCGCCCAAGAATAAGTCAATACTGAAACATACAAGTCAGCATAAAATGTAACATTACTAATTGTCTCTACAACACTGGCGTGTCGTTATTCTAGAATTTTTACAATCTTGGGCTTGGCCAGAAATATAATAAAGTAATTTTCTGAATTTGTTCACTGTTTCCCGTGGCCTAATTATAATCAATGGTGTATCTCCTCTCATTCAGAAATCACCCGGTGACATATTTTGTAGTTTTAAAATGGGTATCCAGTATACACAGCTATGGCGATTGAAAAGATTATATCTGAGGAATCATAGATCAGGCGAAAAGAGGAGATTTCACCTGGTAAGATTTGACGTCAGCTTCTGAAGGATCTCTTGTTGCTTGTACATTTTGAAAGCTTCAAGCTAACACCTGTGAAATATCTACAGTCCCTGTGTCAGGGATATATTGGTACTGTCCGGGAACTCAATTTGTGCTCAATATTCACATAATTGATGCCGGTAATCAGTACATGTGGGAGAAACAAACTTCTGGTTTCAATTATATGCAGTGGCAAACACAAGCAACATAACTAGAGTACCAAAAACATTTGCTTCAGGCAGAACATATATGCAAAATAACTGATAGGAAGCGAACCTGGGTCATGTTTCGTAAGGACATCGAGACAACAACAGATGTTTTTCGTTAAAAGTAAGTCAAAATCATTCTTTTCCAGTATTTTCAAAGAAACTGTTCAGAAGCAAATTTTATATCAAACAGACGGCTTATCAAAAAGACGTAAAAATAATCACGACACATATGAATACAACACTGAGTAACAAACAATGCGTCTCTCCAGGTAATGACCCTGTTTTACCAAGAAACCTGGACCTGGTACATCGTTTGGCAGTGTATAAAATACGGTCACAGCTCTCCAAAGATTATATATATAATGTTATATATATGTTATATATATAATATCAATGCAAATGAAAAACGATACGCCTAAGTAAACAATACCTCATCATATTTCATTGAAACTTTGGAGGAAATTTTTATGTGCAATCCATGTCCGTGCAGTACCTACTCATGTGACACCAAACATTGCAAAACCTCTCCTATTTTGATTACTTTAATTCAGATTTAACTTTACAGCTGAAACATGCTGCACACAATCACTTGAGACTTATCATGTCAAACAGTAACGTCATGTATGACATTGAATGGATATTGGTCGATCGATTTATGTTCGAGAGACACAAAACGTTATGGACACGAGTCAGCCAGCGTAGATCAGGCAACAACAAAATTGGTTCCAATTCAGTCGAGCCCCACTGTTATTCCGGGACAAGCCGAATAGCGACTCGTGCCCCTCTAGAAGGATTTCATATTGGCGTATGAATATTGGAACTACTTCAAACAAGAACTATTTTCCTGTTTTACTTCAGTAGCACTTAATATCACCGAATCACTCGTACATTTATTTATTTATTTATTTATTTATTTGTTTGTTTGTTGAAGATGATGAAAAATATGAATAAACCTTAGAAACGTCACACTAGAATATATGGGAATTGTAAACCCAATGTTAAAATCAAACCTTATTGGTTAAGTTAAAGTTAAATATATTGTTTTGAAACTCGTAGTGAGAAATAACTCAAATTCGAATAAATGTCAAATAAAACAATTCCGAATGCGCACGTACAATCACCAAAAACATGCCCGCAAGATCGACAGAAAAAGGCCAAATGGGCCCTGGTGAGCCGTTAAGTAAAGAAACGCACGTGCGTGTATTTGAATCTCTCACCATTCATGGCTCTATTTGTATTAACTTCACATCAGGCAATACAATTCTGTTAGTTATGTCCTTTGTACTTTCAAAATGAAGACATATCTTTTTCAAGATTGTATAAACATTCACATAATACCATAAACATGTTACGTCCTCGGGATTATATTAAACAAAGCATCGCAACCACTACGCGCCTTTTGTTTGGTTTGTCGTATTTTCGCACACAGCAAGCATCAAGAGGTGACAAGTCTTCTTGGAGGAAAGAGCGAGTGGTAACAAATGGTTTTCAATTGTGTCTACCATCATTTTAATTCTGATAATCAAACCAAAATGTGCATGAAAATTAGGTCAATAGATAAACATATGCCGGCATTAATAATAATGAGAAGATTTATAATGCGCCTTTTCCAGGCTAGATATCCTGCTCAAAGCGCACAATCTTATCATTATTACCCCGGATAACCTAAGCTGCCTGTTAGGCGCTAGAAGGTTAATTTCACCGGGAAGTCATTTTCTGCTGGATGAACAGAGGCAAGTTTGAACAAACTCACTTGCCCCAGGTGAGACCACATGTATTACATGTGCTTCGTTGTGGTCCAGGACTGATGTCCTAGAGACTCTCAGGACTCAAGCTGTCACACACGGTCACCCATCTTAGTACTCTCCGCACCCAACGCTGCTTAACCTGATTTGTGACCTGAGCTCTATGCAAAGGACCACACATAATAACCTTAAATGTAGCCATCCTTACAAAATGGATTCAACTATTATGTACACCATAAAATGGATGTAAAGACAAAATAAAATACGTTGACAGTATTTCTAACCCACGAACTGCTAACTTGAACACCAGAGGCGTCCACGCAGCCTTGGCTGCAAGAAGGACGAAGAAGGAACCACCCGAACTGCACAGAAGTGAGAACAAAACAATTATCTAGATAATTAAATGAAATTGACTGAATCCAGCAAAATATGCTGATGGGTGGATCTACAAACAACAAAACCCCAAAAGCAAGAACAGAGTGTTGAAACAGACAAAGACCGCAAGGGAACTGACGCCTTAAATTTAAGCAATATCAAGAGGCTAAAATAACATTTCCAAAATGGGCCAAAATATTTTAGATTTCATTAAATACCTACAGCCCACAATTTCATGAACGTGTTAGAGAACGTAAATTCCCCCTCATGTCGCTTCCAAACTTATTGTTTTGCCTCAAACTTGCTGACTTCACCTTCGTCAGCTGTTCAAATATTGACATAAGTATCGTGAACAGAATGTTACCAATTGGAATAGCAAGTTAAATATTATTATGGATGCGGTGGATGCATTTTAATTGCATGAACATTTAAGCTATTCTGTTACTACGATATGCTCTCTACATATTTCCATAAGCCTTGTTCTTAATGACGTCATAGTCATTGTTCGACTTGGCCTCGACGTCCAGTGTAGAATAGTCATTGTTGTAGATGTTGCGGCCACTAGCCTGCTCGGATATGGATGTGTAGTTGTCTGACGGCTCTGTAGAGTTCCTGTCCGCTTGGGTTGACGTGGCCCTGACTTTCATCTCATCCTTCTGAGAAGAGTTTATCCACTGCAATCTGCAAAGCAGACAGTGAACAGTAATTAGTGTGTTGTGCATGTTATTCAGAAAGAATTGTAGATCATAAATAATATAAAGTATCCTGACAGTGTTGCTAAACGTTACTTACCTCCCTTGTCTTACCAGGCCAATGTGTAGTCCAACTCCAAGAAGCACTGTGAGGCATATCCCAGCAACCAAGCCGATCACACCAGCTATTACAGGGGTGACTGCCGAATCCCATTCCCTCAGTGATGCTATAAAGAAAAGAAGTTATTCTGTATAGGTGAGTCGAAATTGGTTTTAACGTAGTAAAGAAGACTTTTTAAACAACCCATGAATGTATATGACCTTAACCTCTGTATGTTTGAACATATCTGGATAATGTTCGATAATATTGTTATATTTTTCTATCTGGTATTGATGTGCAAATGATTGGTTCAGTTGTTCCTTGTAATAACCCCACCTATTAGAAATCACCACAATGGTTACCTGGCGCCTTGTGCTGAAATTAATTCAGCAGGCTAAAGGTTAATGATATTAATTTGTATGGCTCTAGCTTATGTCAGATAATAGACATAACTGATATATGAGGTGAACGTCCTGATCAAATTAGATACGGTAGGTTAGCTAAGTGGTTAAAGAATTCGATGGTCCCGCTGATGACCTGGATTCAATTGCCAGCATGAGTACAATGTGTGAATCCACTTTCTGTTGATATTGCTGGAATATTGCTAAAAGCGGTATAAAAAAAACCCCACTAGCTCACTCACTAGACCCTGTTTCGACTAAGTCAGTCACAGCAGAAATTCCGTAACAAATGAACTTCTCAGTACACTTCAGAAGACAAGTATTTTTAACATAGTTGCTTTCAGGACAAATTTTAATGAAACTTCCAAATATAGATGTGAAATCATGTCTCCATGCTCACCGCGTTTTGTAACAAAAGTAACGAAGATTTGCCAGGTGCGACAGCGCTGTGCAAAGTTGAAAAATGAAACGGTTTGATAGTTTTTTCTGAGTTTGTAAAGTCAGTCAAATCTTTTGAAAAATCACAACTACTTTCTCTGGTTATGGTCAGTCTTTGAGATTCAATCTTTAACTCAGCATAGAAATCATGTACATCATCCAGGTCTCAACACATATTACGCAGGAATCTTTGTCCAAGTTGCATAGTATGCGTTCACATGACACATGTTGTATGTATTAAACAGAGATCGTGGCCTATAACAACGAAGGGTAATAATATGACAGGTTGTATTTCATATTCAGACGTAACTAATGTAAGTGAACATACCAGCTATGACAAATGTTTTCATCGTAATTTGTCATAAATACATTTGTTCCGCTAATTTGTTTTGTTTAGACGATTGTCGTATGATCAAGGAGGTACAACCCATTTATTTAATGTTATGAAGTAAATAAAATTACTTACAAAGCTTTACTGAGCAGTGAGAGCCATTGTACCCCTCGGTACATCCCCAGGGACATTGTCCATGAACAACATCACACGTCCCGTTACAGTGGCCGCAGTCCCGCTCACAGTTCAACCCGAATTTCCCACTGTCACAAACTACAACAAATGAACAGTTGTATATATTTTCAGGCATTACACAGACATCACATGGTTAGATTGTCGTTGTGACTTGTAGGAGCGGATCTGACATTTCAAACGTTTTGAATGTTTGAGTTACAAGAATTGAAACAGATACAAAACACAGCCCATATCAATATTTTGTCTGTGAGATCAAAGTTTATTGCCTTTCACTTATAGACTTCCACACTCACCGTACGTAAGTCCAAAAGCATTCAATGTAAATTTAAACCTACTATTACTTTTAATCGTAGTATATTTGTTCCTTTAATTTATGGCTAGATTATCTAAAATTGCTAGCAGCTGAAGGGATGGTGTAAATCCAGCTAGGATCCATGCAGGAAGCAAATATACTCTAAGTCCCCATGGTCCCTAGTATGGTGATCTACCTTCAGTTGTTGGCAATCTATAGCCTTTTTTATATTGTATTGTCATCTATACTTATACTGTTTTAGATTTAATTACAGGTTTAGAATTCATATCTGTGATAATCTTGTTGTTTTACTGTCCGTTCTTGACAGGTTTCTATAATTTGCCATCAATTACTGTGTATAACATTTATATTTTCTCGTCACGATATGGCTGAAATATTGCCGATGTAACGATAAATGTATATCACTCACTCACTCCACACTCACCTGTCTGACACAGAGGGAGTTTCCACCCTGCCTGACATCCACCTGGACAGGTTCCAGTGACGTGATGGCATGTTATGTTATCAGCACAGTGGCCACAGTCACAGTTGATACCATACTTTCCCCTGGGACTCTCTGTGTGGAATATCGCATGGCAGATAATATTCATCTCAACATATCAACACTACAGTTACAGTTGATACCATACTTTCCCCTGGGACACTCTGTGTGGAATATCACATAGCAGATAAAATTTATCTCAACACTACAGTTTTAGTTGATGCTATACTTTCCCCTTGGACACTCTGTGTTGAATATCACATGGCAGATAAGATTTATATCAACATATCAACACTACAGTCACAGTTGGTACCACACTGTCCCCTGCTACGCCCTGATTGGAACATCATATAGCAGATAAGATTCATCTCAGCATATCAACACTACATTTTAGTTGATGCCATACATTCCCCTGGTATACTGTGTCTGGGATATCACAAAGCAGATAAGATTCATCTCAACATATCAACACTAATTTAAGCGTTTAGCAGTTTAGAGGCAGTATGTATCCAGCTTATATTTTGATTGAAAACAGTGTTTTTATCTCCATGATGACGATATGATAAGAAATGGGAAAATTCTAGTCACCAACAAAACACGGACTGTTATCGCGTTAACTATTCCAACCCAATCTTACAACAAAACTTCAAATGTTTAGTCCAAAAATATTACTTTACGCACACAAACATATATTGAAAGGAATATACACTGACTTTCTGAATGACAATAGTTTTCCATTTCACTGGTTTGCATTCAGCAATCATTCTTTTCACATCACTATTTTCCCTGAGGATAATAAAAAGTTATATTTGAACATAATGAGGGTATCATTGCCTAAACACGATTCACTGAATCTATATCAGATTACGATGCCCAATTGGTCAAATTGTCTTAATCCAGTAATTACTTACTGCCTGACATTCATCTGGACGATACACCACGATAACTTCTTTGAGTGGCATTTTAGAAGTTTGGAAGTACAATGTAGAACAAACTTTGTGGATAACAACTTCTTTTTATTCTTGAGTGCGACGTTTCGATACAGATTCTTGTACCGTTGTCAAGCATAATGGAACATAAAGGAGGGGGAAGTATATATATACCAGATGTAACAATGTAACAAAGAAAACAACTTAATTAACATAATTGGCTAGGCATAAAGCCGATGAAGCCAGAGTGTAGACAAAGGACAGGCGTGGAAGCCAATGATGTACAGATAATAACGAGATGTTTATACAACAGAGTTTATACAGTAGATTGGGCTTGGTGGATGAGTGCATCATAAGCGGATGGAATGAAGTATCCTTGGTCTCAGTTGATGGTGGGCTTTTGGCGTTTGATGTGGATGGCTTCGGTGAGCTTGCGTTTAGTGAAGTATGTTTGTTTGTTAGAGAGAATGGTGATGTCAGACCACTCTATTTGATGATTGGGGCTTGCTTTGATGTGGTCGGAAATGGCTGATTTGCTGTCGTAATTGGTAACAGGGGTCTGATGTTCTTTCACTCGGGTGTTGATTGGTCGGAACGTTTCGCCTATGTAGCTCTGCCGAAAATCACAGTGTATTTTGTAGATGACACATTTTGGGTTGTTGTTCTTTACCAGCAATATCACGTAGGGGGACAGCAGATATGGGCTTCACACATTGTACTCTAGGGCATAGTAAATACAGTAAGTGAGTGAATATGGTTTTACGCCAATTTTAGCAATACTCCAGCAATATCAGCGAGGAACACCAGAAATGGGCTTCACACATTGCAGCCATGTCGGGAATCGAACCCAGGTCTGCTGCCAACGTTGGGCTAACGTCTGAATGCTATCTGGGAAGAAAATACTTGACTCATTGAAGACACTCCAACCATTTCATTATTTTGTTTAATATGTTCAAATTTAGTCATTGATTTCTGCACTTAGTAAACAAATAAGCAACAAGTCAAAGACAACTGGGCAGTTTTAAAGTCAGTAGTGAATATGTCCCTTGTTTGTACTTTCATCTTATTAAATATAGATATTTCATGTTTCCAATGCAATATCAGTTACCTCTCATCTCATAATGGAGAAATGCTGATATTTGCAGAGATATTACACTGGAAACATGACAAATCATATATATTCGATGCTTCAAAGATGGAAAAGAGGCATGTCCAGTGTTGCACTGTCACCAGGCAACGACTATTAAATGATGTCAGGTTAATTGTAATAGTTAGGTAACCGCATTCTACAGGTGACGTCAACATCTTTATGATATTATTACAGAGTTTAGAAAACTCAGTCATTCACTCTTATGATTCACAATAATTACTCTTCTCTTACAATATCAAAATTTGGAATTTTTGTTAATCCTAACGACCCAAATGTTGAGACAAACACTTAAAAAAATTGAAGACTTTCGATTTTATTCTTATTTTTATTTCGACCACCGACCCTAGGTTTTTGGAAAAAAATCCGTAAACCAATTAATAAAAAAACCCGGCCTTATGGTCGGTCAATCGATATACTAATTTCGTCTTTCTACGACGTGTCAACTACAGATATAGCTAAGCCATGACGTCAAAAATATATCTGATTCACATTTTCTACAATTGGGTAACATCTGGCAAATTACATTTATGCTGTCAGGTGACTGTAGGGATCTGAGTATTATGTAGCATGTGCCAGTATTTGTGCCATGGCCCAATAGACGATTCATTTTCCCATACGGTGTGCAACCAGCCATGTAAACAGGGGCATGCTACTCGTCGTGTCATAGGACCTGCGGCTCCACACTCTGCATATTTTAATGCTCTCCAAAATGGACAATAGAACAAGGGCATAGTAAATGCAGTTATTGAACGTGCGTGAATATGGTTTTACGCCGCTTTTAGCAATATTCCAGCAATATCAGGGCGGGGAACACCGGAAATGGGCTTCACACATTGTACCCATGTAGGGAATCGAACCCGGGTCTTCGGCTTGACGAGCAGACGCTTTAACCAATGGGCTGCCCCACCGCCCCAAATACAGTAAGAATAGTTTGGGACGAAGGGAACGTTAGACTTGTTTTTTAATTACATAAAAATAAGACATAATAATAAATATGAACAGTAAGATACATTGATACAAACAATGGCTATACCATGAAGGCTGAATACTGATGTCACCCAGACCAATGGGTTATAGTAAGTAGGTCAGATTTACGTGGCATGATCTTCTCTTGTCTCCATTTCATATACCAAATACCAATACATACCCAGCCTGTCTACGATTAGATATACACACCTGGTCTACGATCAGACACACCCACCTGGTCTACGATCAGACACACCCAACTGGTCTAAGATCAGACATACTCACCTGGTCTATGATCAGACATACCCACCTAGTCTCAGATCAGATATACCCACCTGTTCTACGAACAGACATACCCACCTGGGCTACGATCAGACATACCCACCTGGTCTACGATCAGACATACCCACCTGGTCTACCATCAGACACACTCATCTGATCAACGATCAGACACACCCACCTGGTCAACGATCAAACACACCCACCTAGTCTACGATCAGACACACCCATCTGGCCTACCCACCTGGTCTACGATCAAACTCACCCACCTAATCTACGATCAGACATACCCCCCTGGTGTACGATCAGACACACTCATCTGGTCTACGATCAGACACACTCATCTGGTCTACGATCAGACATACCCACCTGGTCTACGATCAAACTCACCAACCTGGTCTACGATCAGACATACACACCTGGTCTACGATCAGATATACACACCTGATCTACGATCATACACACCCACCTGGTCTACGATCAGACATACACACCTGGTCTACCATCAGACATACCCACCTGGTCTACGATCTAACTTACGCACCTGGTCTACGATCAGGCACACCCACCTGGTCAACGATCAGACACACCCACCTGGTCTACAATCAGACACACCCACCTGGTCTACGATCTAACTTACGCACCTGGTCTTCGTTCAGACATACTCATCTGGTCTAGGATCAGACATACCCACCTGGTCTACGATCAGACACCCCCCCCTGGTCTACGATCAGACACACCCACCTGATCAACGATCAGACATGCCCACCTGGTCGACGATCAGACGCTCCCACCTGGTCTACGATCAGACATTCCCACCTGGTCTACGATCAAACACAATCACCTGGTCTACGATCAAACTTACGCACCTGGTCTACGATCAAACACACCCACCTGTTCTACGATCAAACACGACCACCTGGTCTACTATCAGACACACGAACATGGTCTACTATTAAAAACACCCACCTGGAATACGAAAAGACATACCAACCTGCTCTACGATCAGACACACCCACCTGGTTTACGATCAAACATACCCACCTGGTCTACGTTCAAACACACCCACCTGTTCTACGATCAAACACGACCACCTGGTCTACGATCAGACACACCAACCTTGTCCACTCTCAGACAAACCCACCTGGTCTACGATCAGACAAACCCACCTGGTCTAAGATCAGACACACCCACCTGGTCTACGATCAGACAAACCCACCTAGTCTACGATCAGACACACTCACCTGGTCTACGATCAAACATACACACCCACCTGGTCTACGATCAAACATACACACCCACACTGTCTACGATCACACACACCCTCCTTGTCTAGGATCATACACACACACACACGGTATACGATCAGACACATCTACCTGGTGTACGATCAGATACACCCACGTGTTCTACGATCAGACACACCCATCTGGTCTACGATCAGACACACCCACGTGGTCTACGATCCAACACACCCACATGGTCTACCATCAAACACACACACCTGGTTTACAATCAAACACACCCACCTGGTCTACCATCAAACACACCCACCTGGTCTACCATCAAACACACCACCTGGTCTACGATCAGACACACCCACCTGGACCACCATGAGATACACCAAGCTGGTCTACGATCAGACACACCCACCTGATCTACAATCAAACACACCCATCTGGTCTACGATCAGACACACCCACCTGGTCTACGATCTAACTTACGCACCTGGTCTTCGTTCAGACATACTCATCTGGTCTACGATCAGACATACCCACCTGGTCTACGATCAGACACCCCCGTGGTCTACGATCAGACACACCCACCTGATCAACGATCAGACATGCCCACCTGGTCTACGATCAGACGCTCCCACCTGGTCTACGATCAGACATTCCCACCTGGTCTACGATCAAACACAATCACCTGGTCTACGATCAAACGTACGCACCTGGTCTACGATCAAACACACCCACCTGTTCTACGATCAAACACGACCACCTGGTCTACTATCAGACACACGAACATGGTCTACTATTAAAAACACCCACCTGGAATACGAACAGACATACCAACATGCTCTACGATCAGACACACCCACCTGGTTTACGATCAAACATACCCACCTGGTCTACGTTCAAACACACCCACCTGTTCTACGATCAAACACGACCACCTGGTCTACGATCAGACACACCAACCTTGTCCACTCTCAGACAAACCCACCTGGTCTACGATCAGACAAACCCACCTGGTCTAAGATCAGACACACCCACCTGGTCTACGATCAGACACACCCACCTGGTCTACGATCAGACACACCCACATGGACTTCGACCAAACACACCCCACTGGGCAACGATCAAACATACACACCCACCTGGTCTACGATCAAACATACACACCCACACTGTCTACGATCACACACACCCTCCTTGTCTAGGATCATACACACACACACGGTATACGATCAGACACATCTACCTGGTGTACGATCAGATACACCCACGTGTTCTACGATCAGACACACCCATCTGGTCTACGATCAGACACACCCACGTGGTCTACGATCCAACACACCCACATGGTCTACCATCAAACACACACACCTGGTTTACAATCAAACACACCCACCTGGTCTACCATCAAACACACCACCTGGTCTACGATCAGACACACCCACCTGGTCTACCATCAGACACACTCACCTGGACCACCATGAGATACACCAAGCTGGTCTACGATCAGACACACCCACCTGATCTACAATCAAACACACCCATCTGGTCTACGATCAGACACACCCACCTGGTCTACGATCAAACACACCCACCTGGTCTTCGATCAAACATACACACCCACCTGGTCTACGATCAATCACACCCTCCTGGTCCAAGATCAGACATACACATCTGGTCTACGATCAGACACACCCACCTTCTCTACGATCAGACATACACACCTGGTCTACGATCAGACACACCCACCTGGTCTACGATCAGACACACTCACATGGACCACAGTGTGATACACCAAGCTGCTCTACGATCAGACACACCCACCTGGTCTACGATCAAACAGACACACCCACCTGGTCTACGATGCAACACACCCACCTCGTCTAAGATCAAACACACCCACCTCGTCTACGATCAGAAACACTCAACTTTTCTACCATCAGATATACCCACCTGGTCTACGATCAGACACACTCACCTGGACCACCATGGGATACACCCACCTGGTCTACAATCAGACACACCCACCTGTTCTACGATCAATCACAACCACCTCGTCTACGATCAAACACTCCCATCTCGTCTACGATCAGACACACTCAACTGGTCTACGATCAAACACACCCACCTCGTCTACGATCAGACACACTCAACTTTTCTACCATCAGATACACCCACCTGGTCTACGATCAAACACACCCAACTGGTCTACGATCAAACACACCCACCTCGTCTACGATCAGACTCACCAACCTCGTCTACGAGCAGACACACTCGACTGGACCACCGTGAGATACACCCACCTGGTCTACGATCAGACACACCCACCTGGTCTACGATCAAACATACACACCCAACCGATCTACGATCAGACAGACCCACCTGGTCTACGATCAAACACACTCACCTGGTCTACTATCAGACACATCCACCTGGTCTACGATCACACATACTCACCTGGTCTACGATCAAACACACCCACCTGGTCTACGGTCAAACACACCCACCTGGTTTACGATCAGACATACAGACCTGGTCTACGATCTGACAAACACACCTGGTCTTCGATCAGACACACCCATCTGGTCTACGATCAGACACACCCACCTGGTCTACCATCAGACACACCCACCTGGTCTACGATCAGACACACCCACCTGGTCTACGATCAAACACACCCACCTGGTCTACAATCAAACACACCCACCTGGTCTACGATCAATCATACTGACACGATCTGGGATCCGAAATTCCCACACTCGGTGGCTACAAACACACTACTGATTTCCTCAAACATCTTAGAATCAAATAACAAATGGTATTTGTCACCAAAACTAAGTGTCTAGATGAAATCAAACGAAGCATATTCTGTGTGAAAGCGAATGCTGTGCTCGTAACACTGCGTTTGTTGGAAACGTCACCAAAGAAAAATTCAGTATTTACACTGTGTAGGTTTTGGGTAGGTGGACAGGTCTAATGCCGGGCTGGGTGTTGAGGTCTGATCGCAGACCGGGGAGAAAGTAATGATCGTCTGTTCATAGAGCAAATGGGTACGTCTGATCGTAGAGTAGGCGGGAGGGTCGAATTGTAGAACAGGTGCGTAGATATGATCATAAACCATGTGCTCTTGTATGATCGTTGATCAAGTGGTTAAAGTCGTAGAGTGTCTGGAGTTCTAATCAGAAACAGGTTGGAACATCTGTACGTGAAGGTTTGGTCAGAGATTAGTCCGATATGTGTTCACCCATGTTCAACAAAATAAAATTATCTAATCAAATACAATATTCTAATTACAGTGTCTGTATGTGTTGTACTTGAATGTTAAATAGTTCTGAGCACATAACGAAATATACATTTCCACAGACGTTAACCTAGTTCTAGAAACAAACTAGTTTATAGTCCATCTGACTTATAACCACCTGAAGTGTTTATGAGATTAAGTTCATATCTGACGCTGAAAGATGGATCCGTCTACCTGACTACAGAGGGGATCTGTCAGCAGGTGGTAACATTACTCATATTATATGATCGAATATCTGTCTGTAATCATACCCCGATTATGTGTATTCTGCTCATTACGTCAATCTGTGGTTTCTGGAATCTAGACTTGATTATTTCCTTGTTACTGTGTTCTAGCTGGTCTGTCGTTGTATATATACCTACCCCACACCTGTACTTCAGCGAAGTCCAAGATAGCACCATACTCATCATTAACAGTCTCTGTGTATACGGTCAGGTAGCGCCAGGTCCCAGGACAGGTGACACTCAGGACATCAGGAATGTCTGTACCGTCAGCACGTCCTCTAACTGTGTCACATATATCTCCTTCTTTGGGGTCAGATGAATTTGTCCCTGAGGTGTAGAGTTGGAGGCCATTACGTCGTTTCTTATCTGAAAAAATACGTTTGCAATGTGTCATATTATCACGTTCATCATTAATATATTTAATTCACTTCATAGATATGACCGAACTGAAGTTGCTTATGACATTTTGATACACGTCCACAAGTGGTTGGACTGACTGAGCGTCTCGTTGTGAGTAGCATTTAACAATTCAACCTTCCATGTACTTCTCGACACATTAATCCATCGTTCGGTTGCAGCAACGTGTCAGTAACATTAGTAGCTGGAAACAGCTAAATTAATACTTTAATCATCCATCGGAGTGTCATTAAAGCTCAAATAATGTGTCATTACTTGTATCAAATGTTAAACGATACCATGCATGCGTAAATGAACCGTAAACGTAATGTGCTACTAGGATTGGTTTGGGGATACTAGATTTCAGCTGTTACACATTGTACTTGTATATTCATTCAGGGGACTAAGCTGGTAATTTCACCCAAACTGTTTGCAATGTAAAGAAGAAAGATAAATGTGTAACTTTGAAAAATTAAATGTTTAACAGTGTGGTATGTAGAGTAATGACATATTGTTTTTCTTCGTTGATTTACAATTTTTTTTGTCATTTTACCACCTGAAGTCCATTGTAATGAAACTAAAGTATAATATAATACAGTATTTAAGGCTTTTAATTATGTTAAAATGTGTAAGGAATTCAAATATATCAATAAACTGCAAATGTCACTCTGGGTTAGTATTTTATCTAAGATAAAGAAAGTAAGGGTAATTCTATAAAATCACTTAAGGGGAGATAACTCTGTAAAATGTGGTTTTCAGAAAGACATATAACTTGCTTTTTAGTCTATATACATGTTGTTGGACATATATTTAAAGAGTAATTAATCACCAACATTTCTTCATGATACAAAACAGGTCATCAGGCCAGTTAAACATGCATGCATGCACCCGTACACCTGTAATAGTTTTAAAATTATTAAGCTAATTCTGACTACTCACATTTAGATTTTGGTATTTCTGTCAAATTGCAAGGGCTACCTCATCAAGAATCATACTCATCGCCAGTAGCAGAGTTACTGTCATCTTCTCCAGCCTCACCCTCATCTGAATCTTCAGGGTCTGGAAATGTGCTACTCATTTGTTTTGTGACACATGTAGGTACCTGTGGTCCTTCGTACCATACGAGTTGAAAAGTTCCATCCTCCAACTTCCATCCATTTCCTTCTGGTTTGAACTTCAATGGATCACATAGATGAGCATTCTTCCACATACTTGAAACATAATTGGTTCTTTTGATATTTTTAACTAACGATACTTGACAAGGAGGAAATACAGCAGCATCTGTTCCTTTGATTTTGTCTAAAGGACCACGGCCTGGTGCTGGAGGTGAGGTGAAATTGGGTTTAACGTCGTGCTGGAGAATATTTCGCTCATATGACGACGTGCATGCGTGTGTATGTGTATGTGTGGCTGCTTGTACTAGCCCAGACTTAAGATGGTTTTATAGTGCTAGCCCACTGAGATACCATGCCGCAGTGAAGCATGAATACCCCACTCAGACACATTATACTGACTCCGAGCCGTCCAGTCCTTGTTGTACCCATTAATGCCGAGTGCCAAGCAGGGACCAACAAGTACCATATTTTAACGTCTTTTGGTATGACGCGGTCGGGGATCGAACCCGCGACCTTCCGCTCTCCGGGCAGACGCTCTAACCACGACACCACGGAGGCGGTCCCTGGTGCGGGAGCGTATTTTTGTTTAAACAAACTATAGCGCACATAATCGATACTGGACAGGCTTGGTTTTGTATACAACGCACATACAAATTGTTCACATCCTGAAGCAACATGTGAAGGTACCTCCTCTGTGTTTCCTAAACATGTAAATGCAGCCTGAAATGCAACAGAGGTTTCCAGAAGTTCGAACGAAAGCTGAAGTATAGTCACATCCAGTAAATGCATGAAATGAAAGCAAGGAGTCAGACACTCCTTTCCCAATGACCTTGGCAATTGCATAAATGTTTATGTATCTCCTTGAATTGTTGCTGCTGTGACCTGTGTCCATCCAGATGTGAGCTCCATCAAGTCTTTGGATATGGTGAATCAAAAGTACAAGGATATCAGTGTCTGAGGCTCGCACTGATATGTGCGCTTTCTTCAAATCTTGGCAGATATTGTAGATATGAAAAATGATTCTTGTGTCTGCCTCTTCATGTGTACATCGAAGATGTGGAACAACAGTCCTCACCACAATTAGCGGTAAACACATAACATGTATCTTCAAGAGAAACGTAGAGTGTTGTGGTGCCTAAAATGTGACTATATGTGTCACTTCTCCATTCATCAGCCAAAAATCTCAAGAAGGATTACTTGAAACACGCAGAGTTCAATGCATTTGTGAAGTTGGAAGGCCTGTTCTGACCTGGACTACTGACTCCGTGCCTTCTGAAGAAGCTCCACGTTTTCTTCGCTCAATGTCCTTTATTGATGGACTTGAATAAGTGTCACATACAAATTCTACTCGGGTTCCATATTTGCAGAGGATCTGTAGGATGAACTGGATGAGGAACATTCCATCAATGACACACACAGCAATGTTATCAGGCAACTGAATATCTGTTACCTTTTCTTCCAAACATTTCACGTTTGGACTTGTCAGTCTTGTTCATTGAACCATCCATTTGACCTTAAAAGCTCCAGCAGTGAAATTCTGAATCTGTCTTCTTGGGATTGTTTTTTCAAATCTAACCTGGTCAGAAAAACAGCCATCTGAAAATTCATTGTACCATCTTTCACCTGTATGAATGCAGTATACAAGATCATCAGCAACATGTTCTGCTAGAGGCTTTCCCGTTGTTATACAGTACAGATGTGTGTTTGGGTGAGCCATTGTGAAAGGGTTCAGGCAACTTTCAATTGCAGTAGCAAGACCTTCAACATCTTCATGGTCCCGTTTGATCCGTGCTGGTTTGCATTCCAGTGTGACACCTTCCTTGACTATTAGATCTACAATCTGTAGAAGCTCTCTTACCACTGCACTCCTCATTGCACGTGTTATCATCCATCGTCGTCTGGCGGATTGTGACTGAGTGAAGGATGATATGCCTGTCTGTCTGGATGCAGCATCTACATTCACATTCTGTTCCAGGGCCATATCCACTGGTACTCTTGCAAAAGGCTTGGTTGTTCTTTTGACTGAAAGTCCTCCCTGCTCCAGGATTTGTCTTGCACAAGCGTGTGTAGTGTCAATGTTCAGGAGACTGAGATGATAACATGTCTTTATTGCTATAACCGCTGCTCTTGTAATGTACTGCCTCTATGAATTTGTACAGCCACACTAGTTTGTATTGTCATGGTGATATCAGAACTACTTTAAACAGGAACGATAATTCAATTCTTGTTTGATTCCAATGGTACTTAATATCGCCGAACTAATCATACATTGTATTGCTGTTTGTGTTTTTAAAGAATTAAACCTTTTTGATACAAATAAAAGAAGGAGAAAAACTTAATTGTTACAGACTTATTCTCACGTAATTATTACCAGATGTTCACCTTATATTTCCAAATATATTTCTAAATAGGGTTTGATAATCACCATAAGGATTTGTTTTATTAATTATGTAAATAACATTTATAAAAGCTACATTAAATCCCAAAGCAGACACTCAAAAATGACTTTAAAATATTTCTCAAACTGAACAATCGTGTAACCTTGCTGTCATACCCCAAGTGGAATTTAAATGACTTCGCTGAAAAATATATGAATGACCAAAATAAATGTCAGACTAAAATATTCCCAGAGATGTGAAATATAGAATCTATGCCCAATGTTAAAGATTAAAGTTGATCAGTTACATATGGTGGCTGATTATGGCCATCGCTTTTTCGCCTTAAAATTCGGAGGCGAGAAAGCGATATCACGAGACGAGAAAGCGATAACATGAGACGAGAAAGCGATACCATCACGCGAGAAAGCGATAGAGCGAAAGAGCGATATACCAAGGCGAGAAAGCGATAGAGCGAGAAAGCGAGAAAGCGAGAGAGCGAAAGAGCAAGAAAGCGATAGAGCGAGAAAGCGATATTTCACATAATTCTGCCCTGTCTGCACATGACGTCTAACCTGCGTATGATTTAATCCAACAGGAAGCTTTATTGTCATTTGGTGTAGTCGTATAGAAACAAAATGAACATGCTTTCGAATTCTGTGGCATTTTTGTAATTAATCCTTTGACTTGTCCAAACAATAACTCCAGAAACCGAGTGTGTTTTCGTTGAAATAAATGAGTGCTCTTAAAATGTCTGTAAAAAAGATAACAATCATTTAATTTATTGTTACACCACTAATTAGGCTTGGATTAATTCCTGGCTTGCATTTCTTTATTGTCATTTCCCTTGTTAAATGCCACCATTGTTATCTCATTATTCATGCCGGGATTAACAATCCCTGGCTTCCATTTGTCCATCCACCCTACCAATTTAGCGCTAATTAAGTACTGGCTTCCCTTGTTATCTTATCACTGTTCTTATCACTGTTGTTTCAAATGTACGTCTTTAGCTTTCTGTTTGCTAGTTTCTAGTCTCTTCATTCACCCGATGAAGGATAAGAATATACTCCGTTACATCGTGTTATACAAATACAGAAGTTGACGTCCATAACTTCTCTTAAATACCTTTAGGTATTTTATGAGTCCTGTTTTATGAGCTCTGTTTTTCACTGGGCTTAGCTACACATTTGCCTACTCCCCATGTTACCCGTGAAGATCCGGGTTAGATTGGTCTTCAGCAACACATGCTTGTCGTAAAAGGTGACTAACGGGATCGGGTGGTCAGGCTCGCTGACTTGGTAGACAATGTCATCGTAACCCAACTGTGTAGAGTTCTTTGCTCATAATGTTGATCACTGTATTGTCTGGTCCAGACACGAATATTTACAGATCGCCGCCATATAGCTGTAATATTGCCTAGTACGGTGTTAAACAACAGACCAAACAAACCAACTCCCCGTCGGGCTTTATTGTATCAGTG